CACCCCCCTCACTTTTTTGAGTGAACAATTAATAAAACAGAGCATTAAGTTCCATTTAGAAAATTTATACAGATGTACAAAATCTGCTCTTGAATCAAGTTCCTTTCTTAAGAAAAAGGTAACACATTGCATTATCTTCAATGGAAAAAAAATGTACAGGTTCACAGTTTTTTTTTAATATGCACAAAGAACACTTTTCTTTTGCTTACGTGTGGATATATCATAGCATTTTTTTAAATCTATAAATCAATAATTAAGAATTACAGAATAACTGATGTACAATTAATTCATGTGTTTGGGAGAGAGTAAGGGAAAGTACTTTCTTTCAGAATATGTTTATTTTGTTTGTTTATAAGAGAACTCATGATTATGTTATGTTCTCTTTGTTTGAAAAACGTGTCCTCTTTTTTTACGAGGGAACTCGAGAATATGTTCCCTTTGTTTAGGAGATATGCCCCTCTTTTGTGTACGAGAGAACTCAAGAATTATTATGTCCCCTATATACTAAATATGCCACCCTTCGAGTATGAGAGAACTAAAAGATTTATGTTCCCTTTGTATAGGAGATATGCCCCCTTTTGTGCACGAGAGAACTTAAGAATATTAATTTTCCCTTTTGTTTACGAAATAGTTTCTCTTTGATAACAGTTGAACTCAAGTTTATTTTCCCTTTCTTCACGGGGTAAGTCAATATAACTTTCTATTTATTTACAAGACAAGTCTTCTTTGTTTACAAGAGAACTCAAGAATATTCATATGTTCCCTTTTGTTTACAAAGTAAGTTCTCTTTGTTTACGAGAGAAGCGAAGAAGGCAACTCTCTCCCACAGTAAGGACAGCACACGTCTCCATCCCCATCTCCCGCCATTGCCGCAGGTGTAGAGTTACCTCCCCCTGACCCCGGAAGTGTCAACAGAGCTTCCTTGACCTTTGAGCACACGGCTTTGCTCAGCTCCATCATGTAGCGCCCCCCTGTGCCCCCTGCGTCTGGGTTCGATCCCCCTACGGAGTTTTTCGATTTGGTCGGAAGTTCTGAGCTTTTCGACGCTTTTAGAACCATTTTGTGATCCCCGACGCTGTTTTGATTTTCAGACGCCGTGTTTGACTTTTGGTCTCTTTTCTGGGGGGAATTTTTACCAGCACTCGCGACTTTTGCTATCTCGTTGTTCTTGACCCCTGTATTTTTTTCTTGGCCTGTCTGACTTTTCTGACCTTTCTGACCTCTGTGACCTGTGTCCCATCGCTCCTGCTCCAAGACCCTTCCCTCCAGGGACGTTCCCTCACCTTTGACCAGCCCGCCATTAGACATTTTGACCTTCACCTTGGTCACCGTCGGCACTTCAATTACCCTCCCTTTTTTAGCACCGACGACATTTTTCCCGGAGAACGACTTTTCATTTGACTCTGCCTCTTCCGCCTGATCTACCTCCTTACCTTCTTCATCCACCTTTCCTTTCCCTTCTCTTCTATCATCCTCCTCCTTATCCTTCTCTTTTCTGCCTTCTGCCGTCTCACCATCACTATCATCCCCTCCTCCAGCAACTTTTGAACCCATCTCTAAAATATCGTCGATTTTCGAGTCCAGAGACCCCATCATTTTCATCTTTATCGGGTTATCCCTCCTGTACGCTAAGAAGCTACAGTCGAGACTCCTTTGCCGGTCTTTCTCGGATAGTTTACCCCGTTTCCTAGGCGACAGGCGGATGAATTCTCCTCCCACCGACAACTGCCCGGCCAGCTGTTCCAGACCTACGTCATTATCATCGTACAACGCGGCAAAACTTCCGTTCACGACCTTTGGGCTCATCGGCACGTTGCTTAGCAACAGGCTGATGCCAAACTCCTTACGTCGGAGACTCGCTGTCTTCGCGTGGGGCAACGGATGGGGAAGAGGGCGGGGCCTGCAGAGATGAGCCTCCCCATTGGTCAGCCCGTTGGAGCGGGCCGCGTTCTTTCTGGGCACTCTCTGAAGGGTGGGAGGTTCTTCCTTGTTGCTGTTTGTGGACATCTGCGTGGTTTCCGCTTCGCTGGTATCGTCGTCCTCTTCGTCGTTTTCCTCGATGCTTTCGTCTGCTTGTTCGCCTGCCTCGATGAGGATCTTAGACGCCATGTCGGTGATAGTAATCCAGTCCCTGAACGAAACATGATCATCATCACCATCATCATCAAGTGCTATATATCTTTGGCAGTGGCAGACATCGGCGATCATGGTTCTTTCATTTACTTGGATGCTCTTTTAAAAAGCTGTGCTAGAGAGAGAGAGAGAGAGAGAGGGAGAGAGAGAGAGAGAGAGAGAGAGAGAGATGCTCTGATCTTTTCCCGGAAATAAGACGAAATAAAGTAGTTTGTGTATGTGTATGCTTCTCTCCGGTAACACCTCTATTCTTCTGATGTATATGTGATGCAGAGTGGTGA